GAATGCTATAGAGCAAATTATACAATATGTGTTTGTGAACTCTACAATTCAACTATTGTAAAAATTCATAGTTGGTTTTTTTAAAAACAATATTAGGGAGGGAGAAAGATAGAAGGTTGCACGAATTGGTACCTGTACAGTAATCGAAAAAAGAAACAAATATTTTCGTGCTATCTGGGAATCGAACCCAGAACTCTGTGTTGGCAGCCAGAGAGTTTCCCTCTAGGCTATCCGAGGTAAACTAAGACCCATGTCCTTTAACATTTACATAAACTCAGAGTCTAGCGCTGTGCACTGGAAATTTTCATCTCTTACTTTTTACAATAGTAATATCGTATTTTTTCATGAATAAATAGTATTTTTTCTTCTAAAATATTTGATAATTAATAGGGACCGAGCGCTAACTGTAGAGGCAGCACATCAGTCGGAAGTGGCGCGCCCTGGTGTTTAACAAAAGCACTAAATGGGTAAAAAGTATTACAATAGCTTATGTATTTTTTACTAAATAATAGAAAAAATAATAAAATATGCTTTTTGACCAGTATTAATCGGTCGTATTGAAAGCAAAAATAATTTAGAAAGTTAAAAAAAAACTTTAGGCCATGTATATTAAATGTCTTAAAAGAAATTCAACATTATTAAATCAAATAGCCATGTAAACATAGCCTCCAAAGTTCAATTCCGCCTCTAAACACGTCGTATGCCTGTCATTTTTCTCTGGGATACCACTAGTACTGAGCGAAAAATAATAAAATTTCACAAGTTTGTCAATTTGACGGTTCCGACTTGATATATTTATGTATGTCGTGATATGTCAAAACTCTACAGTTAAGAAAATTTCAAACAATTTATTAATTTATTTAAATAAAAAATAAATTAACATTAAATCACATGTAAGAGTTTAAAATTTTTGCCCATTAGCTTACAATTTCTATCACCAGTTGGCGTGATAGTCTAGAGGCTCGGTCCCTATAGTAATAAAAGTATAGTCCAGCTTTACAATAGTTGTATCGTAAATTTTCCCAGAAATGTTTTCCCGTGTAGGTATGGGATTAGCGGGAAGTTGCAGGGATGGCCTTCAGGGTCAACCGTTTTCCTAATTTTCTTTTTTCAATTTCTGTTGCTCAGCGGCATTTTATGGTGTAATCTTGTCTAAGAACGGAATTTTCTCAGAATTAAATTCTCTACAAAAGTGTCCATTGTCTCGAAGTCGTAACTCATACTGGTGGGGTAGTACGGACCGCCAAACCGAATTTTTTCATAGAATTCTTATTTTTTCTCTCATCTCATAAACAACAAGACCTACAGAAAAAATGTCAACGATAATTTTATAGGAAATTCAATTCTCTACAAAAAAGGTCTTTATCACCAAATCACTAAGATTGATATTTTCTGAGATATTAGTCATTGAAATTTATGTAGCATTGAATTTCCACAAAATTCCTTCCTTCACCCCAACCAAGATACCTTCTTTTGCTCTTCCCCTCCCCTTGGTCGCGATTGCCTCCTGTACTTCCCACTTAACCCCTTTTTTCTAACAATCTTTTATTGCTGCTTATTTCTTGTTATCTACTCATGTCTCCATCAACACAACATCCCAATTCTTCAACCCCCGCCAAAAATCCTCATCCTCGTTTTTAATCCCTGCAACATCCCACAAACCAATCTGAAACGTATTCATCTCTTCCCCTTTTTCCCCTATTTTTCCTCCCCTTCCCCTTCTTGCCAACCTTCACCCTTAGTCGTTTTCCTCTTGATTTTACCAGCTTCCCTCCGTTTTATCCCAAATCCTTACTTAGCCATTAACCCACATTTTCATGTATCCTACCTTCACCACCTTACCAGCCCTCCTTTCCTTCATCGTCTCTTCCAATATCAATCTCCTCACCCTTCTCTCCTCGAAGGTCAGATCATCCTCCCCCCTGACTTTCTTCCCTTTTAGCTTGCTTTTAGCTATCATGACCTCCTTTTTTCTGCCTACATCCTCCAATTCAACAAGTACTAAACCTTTACCCTCTTTGTCCACTTCTCCTATCGTTCTCATGCTTTTTCTCCCCGCTCCAACTTCTATTTTATCCCACACATTGTCCACCTCTTCTCTCCATTCTGTCCCTTCCTTCATGTTAATCCCTTTCACAACCACGTTCTTTCTCCTTACCTCCCTTTCTCTTCTTTCTGCCTCAACTTCCAGCCTAAGAAGCCTTTCCTCCGTCTCTTCATTTATCCCCTTTCCTATCCCTTCCCCCCTCTCTCCACTTTCTCCTCAGCTGCTATTATTATCCGGCATCTGCCTATCTCAACTCCCTATCTTATCCCTCGTCTCTTTTCCATTTTTGCCCACCTATCCTCTATTTCTTACCGCCACCACCGCGCCACTAATACTTTCCAATCCCACACCTCTTCACCCCACCTTCCTTTCTCCGACCTAGGAAACCTAACCTCTTCTTACAAATCGCCCTGTAATTAACTCTTCTAAACTCCAAAATGACCACCCACTCCTCCTGACTTTAATTCCCTGATGTACCTTCACTTTCCTAGCTACCCCTACACCCTAACAACACCCACTAACACTCCCTATAACCACCGAAACTACTAAAATTATTGCCACTTCAAATCAACACGTCATACACTTACTGCCCCGGAAACGGAAGTTGTTTAAAAGTAAATCATGGGATTCGATAAATTGCGTCGAATGCTACCAACCGCGTAAAAATCGGTTTATTCATTTAAAAGTAATTGCAGTTTGAAAATTTAAAGAATAAGTTTTCTTAAAGTTCTACCAGACTTTTGAGTTCGAAGAGCTTAAAAGCATAGAATAGCTATAACTCTTTAAGCTTGGAGAGCTCAAAAACGTCATAAGTGCTATTTTAAGGAGGTATGGTGAAAAATCGCTTTTCTTACAATATTTCTCAATTTTTGAATACGCGTACTTCTAAGTGTTCTCTACACGGAAAAAAAATCCTATGAAAAATTACTATAGTAACATCGTAATCCAGGACTAGACTTACAGTATGTTGATTTTTACAATGCTGCCGTCTACAGAATACAATTTGAACTATTGAAAATTACTATGTTATTCAGTAAATTTTTTTTCCGTAAGAGCAAGTGAATAAGGACGCATACTATATGTTTTAATAAAAGAGAGACAGTAGCGTAAGGGGATAAACCTTGGGCTTGTGTCGGAGAGGGCACCGAGTTCGATTCCTCGGTGAAACAGAATTATTTTTTCGATGACCTACACTTCTTTTTAATTTGAGTGATAGAAATTTACGATGTTGCATCGCATAAATTATATTGTTTGAGTTCTTGTCCGGCACTACAATGTTTTATACTAAAAATTACTATGTTACCATTGTAATTTTTCATAGGATTTTCTCTCCGTGTATACGAATAAATTTTTTTTAATAGTCTTTGCGGGATTAATTTTCGAAATATTAGCAATTAAAAATCGTACATTTAACATGTATTCCCTATTCTGACCGTAGTTAGAGCGAACATTTTATTGAATAACAACCATACTTTTCTTAGGATTTTTTTTTAAAACTGAGAATATTTAATTGAAGTTATAACAAGTATTTTTTTTGAAAAAAAACAAACGAGCGGGATTAATTTTTTTATAAACAATGTTCAAAGTTTGTTACTTTTAATGATTTTCAAGCGTTGTCTTATAACCTAATAAGTGAGAGATAGTGGCTTGGCAACGTTGCACTGCGCGAGAAGTTCAAAATACAGTAGAAGCCCAACAGATTCAAATAACTATAAAAATTTAATGGATATAAGTTAAGCACAAATTTACTGTATAGGAAAAATAAATATGTAAAATAATAAATGGTATAAATCAAGAATATAGCTACAATATTAATATAATAAATAGTCATTTATTTAAAAGTACATTTTTCAATAAATATTTTATAAAGGCACTCATTTAAAACAAGTTATTTTTAACTTTAGAAGAATATTAATACTACTAATTATTTTATTCTTTTTTATAAACTCTTTCTTTCCTAAAATTATTTTTTTTTGGTTTCTTAAATTTCTTAAATTTAATATTTCCACTAAATTCTGTAAAGTTAAAACGTCATAAGCTGCATCATGAAATGATTGTTGTTCATCATCTGAATTTTTTAAAAAATCTTGACTCTAATTTATATTTACCAGGACCTTTTCTATCACTCAAGACTGATCGAAATATTGCTAAATTAAAATCTGCCATTCTTTAGCCGCGAAGTCATTATTTATTATTTGCAGTCTCCAACTATACGTAACCTCAAAATTATTTCAAAACATTAAATTTTTCTACAACACATGTCTCAAGGGGCAAACGATTCTGAGCGAGAATGCAACGTAGCCAAGTAAAAAAAAAGACGCAGTGGGATTATTTTTCTACTTCTGCGCATATGAGAGGAGGCGCAAAAGTGTATTGCATCTCAACTATTTCATATTGTAGTTATAATGCTTTACATTGGGGCATATGGGGGGAAATTTTTCTGAAAGTTGAGAACTGTTTTAGGGTAATACCTCCTTAAGCGCTTAGGTATGAAATTAACGGGAAGTTGTAGGGATGGCCTTTAGGGTCAACCGTTTTCCTAATTTTTGTTTTTTTGATTTTATAGAGTTTGAATTAATTGCATTGCAGGAAAATAAGCGTGAGGAACGGAAGAAACTAGCCGATGAAGACGCACAAATCAAAATCAAAAAACTTGAAGAACAAGCATACAACTTACAAAGACAAGTTGCATCTCAAAAACAGGTGAAGCATTAACAGTTAATTTACAAAAGCATTTTTTTGGAAACAGCAAACAAATTGTGTATGTTTTAGTACATCACACTGATTCAACGTGAAATTACTTGTCAACGTTTATATACTGAGTAACTTTAAATTTTCTATATTTGAAAGTGCGGTGATTAGAAACAATATCATTCAAATTTTTAGCACAATCAAGTTTTCTTTTGATTTCTTCAATAAAAATATGCATTAAACTCCAAAGTCAAGAATTAATATGTGTGACTATTGTAATGACAAACTGATTGATAATTTGAAAGAATATATTAGTTTATTCTTGAATCAAGTAAAATAATATCTTGATGCAAAAAATGCGCCATACTTGAACGAGGTCGGTATGATCCTGAATCAATATTACCCGCCTTGAAACAAGAAAAAAATACTTTAGAGAAATAAGTATGCATATTGTTTAAAAACAAAAAATTCTTTTTCTCCCTTCCGGGTGTAAGGTGTCAACTTTAGCCCCGCTGCGCTAAACGAAGTTACCGCTTACCGTCTCCGTCGAAGAAAAAAATAGTATAAAATAGTAAAATAGTATACACTCCTCGGGAAGTAAATAAGAAAGCCTCAGATCACATGTGATCTGAGACATTTATTACTTTACTTTCCTAGGGGTGTAATATTAGGGTGCTTTTTTTTGCGAGTACTTTTTTTCACTCTTATCCCAAAATTTTGTTTGAAGTACACCCAAAAAAATTCCCTAAAAGTTTGAGCCCTTAATATTAATATTAAGTACTCCTACACAGCGTGTGAAGATTTCCCATATGAAATATACGAGAACTTTGATTTTTTTTTTAATTTCTATAGCTCAGCGGAATTTTATGGTATAATCTTGTCCAAAAACGGAATTTTCTCAGAATTAAATTCTCTACAAAACTGTCTATTGTCGCGAAGTCGTAACTCAAACTACTGGGGTAGTACAAACCGCCAAACCGAATTTTTTCATAGAATTCTTGTTTTTTCTCTCATTATCTCATAAACAACAAGACCTACAGAAAAAACGTACATAATAATTTTATAGGAAATTCAATTTTCTACAAAAAAGGTCCTTATCACCAAATCACTAAGATTGATATTTTCTGAGATAAGGTAAAAGTCCCTATTATGAGACATTGTCCCTATTTATGATACATAACGTAAATATACTAATTTATAAAAATAATACGGAATTACACTTTTAAAAAATTTTATAAGCATATTTTTTATCAATTTATAAGCATTTTATAAGCATTTTTTCATCAATTTTGAAAGCAATTTACAAGTCTTACTGTTGATTCTTTCCCAGTAATAATAAAAAAAAATTATAATAGTACATGGTTTGATATCTGCACTTGAAACAATGACTATAAAGAGTTAAACTGCAATGACCAAGCAACTTTTCAGTCGGGTTAAAATAATTGTTTGTTATATTTATATACATAATTTATATGTTAATTGAAAGCTAATGAGTCTTAGATTTCATTTCTATACGCATTTATGCTTTTTTATGATAATAATATTTTATATTTGAGTGTCTCATAATACCTACACTTACAAACTTGAACGTACCGGTGTATGAGACACTTTAGTCAGTGTATCTTGTAATACGAACATGTGCGTTTTTGTTTGTCCCGATTAGATGAGACAACGTATATTTATAAAGTTTTATATTATTAATGAGTGGTATTAATTGTTAAAATATAACATTTGGATTGTATAGAGGATTGGCTTTTATTACATTATTAAATATTTTCATATAAGTAAGTATTTTAAGTTAAATAACGTAAAATTATAAATCTAACCTAAAATTATGGAATTAAGTATTGACTTTATTGACTTTACGAGAAAATTTATTTATTTTTTCAATTAAATATTTTAATTTAATTTATAATATTTAACTGTATATTTTATTAATTTGTTGAATGTTTCAGATTGTATACCACCGGTAAATAACAAATAAATTAAAATAATAATCTGAGGTAATGGGAAATAAACAGAGATCCAAGAGGATAAAAAAAAATCACTCAAAATCAAACAAACCAAAAGTGTTGTGCGCAAATTCCGATAAAAAACCTATGAAAACAAAACTTAAAAGAAATAAATATGATTCATCAAATATTGAAAAAGCTTTACAAGCAATAAAAGATACAGGATTATCTATACGAAAGGCAGCTGCTGCTTATGGAGTACCTGTAGCCACACTGGCTAGAAAAAAAAAATGTTGGTCCTGAGAAAGCAAAAAATAAAACAGGTCCAGATACAGTTTTATCACCGAAAGAAGAGGATAATATTGTTCAGTGGGTGCTGTACAGAGCATCAATGGGAGCTCCTGTGACTAAAACTGAACTATTAGATTGTGTGCAAAGATATGTTCAAACTATGGAAATCAAAACTCCGTTTACGGATAACCGTCCCAGTCGACACTGGTATGAAGGTTTCCGAAAACGTCATCCTGAGTTATCCATTAGGAAACCCCAACATTTGAGCATAAGTAGGGCAGCTGTTAATCGCGAAGAATTGCAAGAGTGGTTCAAGGATTCTGGGAAATATTTAGAAAGTAAAAATTTATTAAATATTCCTGCCTCTAGAATTTTTAACTGCGATGAAAGTAGTATACTTCTGTGTCCTGACGCCGAAAGCGTATTAGCTGAAAAAGGATCTCATGCAGTTTATAAAATAGTTGATGGTGGCAAAGAAGCATTGACTGTTTTATTCACGTACAGAGCAGATGGAACTCGTGCTCTTCCAATGCTTATGTACTCTTATAAGAAAAGTATACCTAAGAAAATAGTGGAAAATACTCCAACAGGATGGGGTCTTGGAGTATTGGACAGTGGCTGGATGACAACGGAGACCTTCTATGAATATATTACCAACGTATTTTATCCTTGGTTACTTGAAGAAAAAACCGAATTTCCAGTTATTTTATACATGGATAATCATTCTTCACATCTAAATTTACCCTTGGTTACTTTTTGTAGAGAAAAACAAATAGAATTGGTAATGTTACCTCCCAATTCCACCCATATTATGCAGCCATTGGATATTTCATTTTTCCATCCATTTAAAGAGACTGGAAAAAATGTGTACCCAAATGGAAAAATGAACATGGTGTTGGACAAATTAAAAAAGAGGATTTTCCTCAAGTTCTTAAGTTCACGTTGGACAGTATGAAGAATGAAAAAAGTGCAGTCGTTAGTGGATTCAGAGGAGCTGGACTTTATCCATTTAACTCTAATGCAGTAGACTATGATATTTTACAGAAGACTAAAAAATCCAAAAAAACTGTTGATCGGCTGGATAACAATAGTGCAGATGAAAATGGAGAAAATTAACAGTTTTTGTTAAGTTTTGAAAAAAATTTACCGGAAGATATGCTCTCTGAATTTAAAGAAGCTGCAAAGTGTGGATCATAGAGCGGAGATCTAGAGAAGAAAGCATTATTCGATTACTGGTTCAAAATTTCTAACAATTCCACGGGTATTTAAAATAACAATTACGTCATTTTAATTTACAATCATTGACCTAATTACAATTCATATTTACAGTTTTTTTTTTCGAATTTTTTTATAAATTTTTTATATACAAATTTTTTTTTTATAATTTTTTTATATACAATTTTTTTCATGAATTTTTTATATACAATTTTTCATTACGATTTTTACAGTTCACTATATACGAAATGTAATTTTAAAACAATATAATTTTTTACATTAATTAATTATAATTTATACTATTAATCATTTTTTTCAGTTAATTCGTTTAATTGATTCGGTATATTTTTTTTTATTACATACTTACACATTTTTATAAATAGGTGTTACTACAAAACAGAACCCAGTAATCAAGAGTATTGAAATTTATAATGATCATCATAATCAACACAATTTAAAAAATGACTTAAACACTAATCAACCTTATTTATCAAATGATATTGTTTCAAACACTAATTCTTCTACTGATTTTCTCTATACGATTGATCAAGAACTACCTAATTTGAATATTGAAACAATTAATACGTTAAATATTAACAAACTATTGGAATCTATCATTATTGAGGACAATGATTCTAGTGTGATTAACTCTGAAGAAACTAGTATTACTGATGATGGAAAAATTTTAGAGTTTATATTAAAATCTGGTCAAGTTAATAATGAAGAACAACCAACTGATAACAACAATGTAATACAATCTACTCTTTCAAACTTAAATGAAGACAACTTTATTGAATTAGAAATTCATATTGTTTATGACAACTCGATTGTACCTGTACAGCATGGAGAGATTACAACAGAACTCACGATTACTCATTCCAAAGATCCTGTGATTAATGAAAATCATCAAGTCGGTACGTAAATGTCATACTTATTATTTTTATGTTTAATAAATTTATATTATTAATGTAATTGTTTTTTTAGAACTCGAGAAAGAAAATTTAAATGGTGTTTCTCAAAAAACTGACATACATCGTTCTATTGATGAGACTACATCAACAGCTATTGATAAAAATAACATAGAATAATTACTTATGAACTATTTTTAAAAATAATTAACAAAATTAAGAGAAACTCTTTTTTTAGATATGTCGCCGAAAAAACCATTTAAGGAAATATTTACTATACCGCTAGATTATTTACCAAAAAAAAAAAAGAATCAAACTTGAAAAATCAGGCAGGTCTAAGCTACCATCTGTGGGAACCTCCGATGAATGGTACCAGCAACAATTGGAAAAGGAAAAAATGAAAAAAATGAAAGAAGAAAAACAGAAACATAAAAAAAAGTTGCAAGAAGAAAAAAAAAATTAATGGCTCAAGTTAAAGAACTACAAAAACAAATCAAAGAAGAAAAATAAATTTATTTATATAATTTGTGTTGATTAGTCGTTTAATTTCGGAAAAATCTATTATTTGTTGTTTAAAATCTGAAATAATTTCTTATTTTATAATTATAATGATCTCAAATTAATAAATACATAAAATATATTAGATCTTTTTTATTTCTTTAGTGTCTCAAAAATAGGGACCTGTATCATGAGACACTGGGGACATGTGTCTTTAAACTGTCTCATAAATAGGGTCATAGAGGTGCCTCCAAAAAAAGCTTATTTTTATTAATTTTTAATTTAAAATTTATTATAAACAAGGAATATTGGCTAAATAATCATAAAATTAACAGATAACACAATAAATATTAGGTTTTTCATTCAAATATATTTTATATTAACAAGAATGTTCGACCTACGTCGCAAAGTGTCTCATAATGGAGACTTTTACCTTATAAGTCATTGAAGTTTACGTAGCATTGAATTCCCACAAAATGTCAAATCAAATCTTAGAAAATATTGATTTTTTTATTTTTATTATACACTGATAGAAAAACAATCTTGATTCAAGAAACTTTTTTTCTTCAAAACTTGCAGTGATCGGCAGAAAAAAAATTTTAGATTTTTAAGTATCCATTGTAGAAAAAATTAGTATTTTCATGTATGACAGTATTAAGTATTCCGATAATTAGTAATTTAAATACTTCAAATTACTAATTATTCAAATAATAAGTACATAAATAATATTAATTTCTAATTGTTTGGATAATTAGTAATTTAATTATTTCTATTACTAATTATTTGAATATTTAGTAATTGAATTTTATTAATTACTAATTATCAAAATAATTAGAAATTTATTCAAATTAATTTCTAATTAATTAAGTTATTATAGACGTAATTTTATTCACTACTAATTACTTAAATAAATCATTCTCAAATAGTATTGTTCATTAAATTTCCACAAAACTTTTCTCAAATTTTTTAAATTAAAATCTGGGCTTTGATACTATTTTGGGTTATTGCTTATTTGTATACTCTAAAACTTTAAATAGAAAAAAAAATTTTTTTTGGCCATATAAAAAAATTAAATAAAACTTCGAACTTTAATAAAAATTTGAATTTGGAAAATTATGAAATTATTATTTGATAAAATTTACATTTCGAAAAAATTTCCTTTTTTAAAAAAAAATTCAATTTTTCTCGAAAAAAAAAAAAAAATGAAACTATCACGAAATTTTCAATTTTCGGAAATAATTTTTTTGGTTAGTACAGAAAATTGAAAAAAAAAAATGAAATGTTCAAGAAAATTCATATTTAAAAAATATCATAACTTCGAATAAACTCAAAATTTAAAAAAATTTCAAATGATAAAAAATATGGAAATTTTTTTTGGAGTGAGACGATGAATTTGATTTTCATAGAATTTTTTAACCGGAGCTTAGTTTGGGCACTTCCGCTGAAAATTCAAATTTTGGCCGGAAGTGTCCAATTAAACCTCCTGCTAAAAAATTCTATGTTAATAAAATGTATCGTCTCACTCCAAAATATCTCAGGAAATGCCCAAACACCGCTCCTGTTAAAAGCGGAACTCAAAGTTCCAATTTTAAAAGGTCCTCCACGGGAGTTACATTTTGGCACACCCTAATACATATGAGGAGCTTATTTTCAAAGGGGTATCTTTTGATTTTTGATTAATCGAGACAAAAAACTAGTTATCTTCAATTATAAATATTTGTATTGAACTTTTTTTAATTTAGCTATAAAATGCAATCGGTTATGAAGCTGCAATTCGATTTTCATTTATAAATGTTCGTAATTCTCTAAGTAATTAGTATTTAAAAGTACAGAAAACTGGTATTTTGAAATATGAAAAGATACCCTTTTGAAAATCAGCTCCTCATATATATGTATATATAAACTTTTGAGCAGAGTCATAACTTGACAAAATAAAACACATATTATAACGGAATTTCCTGTAAATTGTGACATAAGAGCGGCTACAATAGATAAATTTCTAAAGAAATCTGCGTAAAAATGAAGTGGGTAGAAGAAAAAGGGAAGAATTAAGTTATTTAGTTTATTTTTGAGCAAACAGTAGGCTTTGAATAAAAATGTCGGACTTTTCATCTTAAATAAAATTACTATTTTAGTAAATAAACTATTTAAATAAAATAATCATAACACAGTATAATTATCATAACGAAAAAAATTATTTATTTTCAATCAAAATACAAATGAAAACTCCTTTTAAGCTCGACACATTATAACAAAAAAAAATAAAATACAAAAGTGATTGAGTCACCTGCTCATCCTGCACTGATTATTTTTTTTTCGCAATGCTTGCATTGCATTTCATTATTACTCGTAATTCGAAATTTTTATCAGTTAATTTATTATATTTCGGCAGATCATACATCGTTGCATGACTGAAAAGCCTCTCAACAGCTGCGGAAGATGGTAAGATTGTAGTCTTCAAAAAAATTTTTCTTACAGTCGGATAGGAGTTTAAAAGTTGAAAATCTGTCCTTTGATCTGCCGTAAATTTAATGAAATTAACTTCCTGAACAGTTGACCCGAATGGCCCAGAAGAACTGGTTGTTGCAGAAGAATTTGATGCAGGAGAAGAACTCGGTGTGGTATTGAAAGGTTGGTCATCAAAATTAAAAAAGTCGTCCATTTCTACTGTCTGCAATTCAGGCTGATTAACAGGATTATCAGGGAGGCTCACGATTGCATCCTGTATCGCTTTCATAACGTTTTCTTGAGCTACTTTACTTAGAGAAGATAACCATTTGAATTTGAACATGGGATGAGTCGCTGCAGCTATGGCAGCTGCTTTTCCTTCCTCTACTACATTAAAAACGTTTTTGATACGCTTCTCTACAGCCGCAATCAAACCAGAAATTAATTTTTGGCAATATTGAAATCTCAAATCTTTGCAAGCCAACAATTTTTTTCGAGTTATTATAAGTGTAGGCAGCAAATACCCGTACGATGCAATTTGATCACCTTGTAAAACATCGATAGCTTGAGCGATAGGTTGGTGACAACGACAGTACTCTTCTAAAAATTATGTATAATTTAAAAAATTTATGTATGATATTCTTCGTAATTTTTGTATAATTATAAACAATTATGTGTAATTATATCAAATCATATTATATTATATGATATTATATATAATGATTTTTTTTATATTTTTCGTATGATTAAATGAAAATCATACTAAATCTTCAAAGTTGAAAAAAGTGATGATAAAGATTACTTTTTTATAAACAATGATTTTATTTTTAACTAGCATTTACCCGCTGCTTCGCTCGCGTTGAAGTCCTTCGATAAATATCAAAGATCATTACATTCCAATAGAACTGAATCAATGTAATTCAAATTTTTTGACAAACTATTTTTTTATCTTTCATAAAAAATAAATTTTTTTCTTTAATAACAAGTATCCTATGTTACTTCTAATACTTCCAAGAATATGTGTACAAAGTTTCATGATGATCGGTTAAGTAGTTTTTTGCGTGAAAGCGTAACAAACAAACTTACATTCACATTTATAATATTAGTAGGGATTTAAATCCAATTTTATAATAAAATTACCAAATTCTCTTTGAATTATCTGGTCTCTTACATAAAAAATCTCTAAATCTCCTACTCTTAATAACTGAAAAACACTTTGTATTTATCTCAATTCTATTAACAAGTAATTTTCAGATTCGGTAACTGATGTAATATGTTTTACTACTGCTTGCATATTACTGATCATTTTATTATGTTCAACTTTCAATTCTTCAATTAAAAAATACAATTCATTTTCTATAGAAAATAAATAATATAAAAATTAACAATAGTCAAAATAAACAATCTATTAAAAATGTACTGCTTTTATTAAGTTTTATTTATAGGATTTTAAGAAATTTCATAAAATTTATGTGTAAATCTGATCTTTCTTGGGTTTGAATTTAAATAAATTCAATAGATTTTGTCGTGTACAGTATGTGATTCAGACCAGTGAGTAGCGTGCAGGACTGATAACCAGGAGGAGTCGAGTTCGAACCCAGCGGACGCCCGGAATTTTTCATCAATTAAAATAGTTTCTAATTACTACATCATACCCCGAATCGCATTAGTTTCAATATAATTAAAAAAAAAAAACAATTTTTTTTATCCATTTTTGAAAAAAAAAAATTGATATAATTATATATAATCGCATATAATTATATATAATTGGATATAATTATACATGATTATATATAATTATGCCGGGCCATTTTTTATATATAATCATATATAATTATACCCAATTATATATAAATTTTTTTACTCGGGAATGTAAAATTGAATTTATTCATACCTTTAATTGATTGTCAATAAAATCGAGAATGTCTTTTTTGTCGTTCAAAATGTCGGTAATATGTTCATCGTCGGAACCAATTTCACATACTAATGTATCAATGGTATCCCAATTGTCTCTAAATCGTTTGAAAATAGGTACATTTGGACCATTTGTGGCTGGCCAAGCAACTTCTGCTACATTTCGCAGCATCAACTCAGGTATGATTACGACAAGCAAGATATAATAAATCACGACAAATTTTTTTCTCTAGTAAAAGACAAGCACCTTTGGTGTTAACTTAAAAAAAACATTATCTGTTTTTGATTAAAATGGTTGATAAAAACATACCCTAGTCACAAAAATTAAGGGACTTGAACAAATTCTAAATTTTTGGGTGTTTTTCAACGAGGTGTAACTCCTGTAACTCCAAATAAAATGATCATAGAGCAAAAACAAAAAAATAAAATAGTAGCTCCAAGTGTCTAGTTTTCAGATACGACCATGACAATTTTTCATCACGTTTGAGTCTGGAGAAATCCTGAGGAAATTACCAAAAAAAAAATTTTCCAAATTTTTTCTTGTCTAAAAAAAGGTCTACGGGCTTCAAAAAATGTTTTTTCATTCTTTCACTCAAAAGCTCTTTTAGAAAATTTAATGCCCGTTTATTTGACAGAATCATAAAGCCTGTGCGATGATTTGCCGCAGAATTATCGTCAATCAAAGCAAAACAGTTCTTTTTAACTTTGATAATCAATAACTCTGAGAATAATGATCGTATGAGAAATCGAAAGAGGGTTTTGAAAACTACACGATATTTTCTATGAGATACAGTAAATGGCTTTTAACGAAAAAATTTTTTTTGAATTGAAAACTTTGACTGAAAAAAAGACTAAAATTCGAATAATTAAGGATATTTGAATAACTTGGTATAACTTTGGATAAAATGGATGAACGAAGGATATCATTGGTAATTTTCCAACTTCAAAGTGTCCCCTAAAATCCCTGGAAAATTTAAAGTGCTGCGATTTTGTGTTCCATAGTGTCCCGAAGCTTCAAATTCTTTTTTTTCGCCATTATGAGCAATTTTTCGATTTTTATTCATCCTCTTGAAATTTTTTTTTTTTTTAATTTCTTAAAAAATCAAACTTTTTGATCGAAAAAATAAAGATTTTTAAGAAAAAATTTTTTTTTGGATAATAACCTTAAATGAGTTTGAAGATGAGCGAAATCCGTCAGTAAGGTTAGAAATGGTAGCTCTTCAAAATGACCAAAATAGTGAAAATCACGTTTTCGATAACTTCATGGATGTATAACTTTCGATTAAAAAGATATGGCTAATTTTTGATAAATTCTTATAATAGCTCATGAAATTACCTTTAATTTGACGTATATAACATTAACATTTTTACCATTTTTAGTTATTTTATCAGAGTCAAGAGTGCAATTAAATCATTTTCAGGCTATGTGTAGTATACATAAGTACAATCGACTTATGTATGTTATTATATCAAAAATTCTCAACAGATCCTAATGAAAGTCGGTACACATATTTCTCGGACACTTAGCTTGCATCAGCCCTAACATGAGTGAAATCCTTCAATTAGTTCAGAAATAGTAGCTCTTCGAAACTATCAAAATGTATGTAAAAATATGACAAGTACACGGAGGAAAAAAAACAACACTGATTACTATTTTGTGCAGTACTCAGTACTGTTTTGAAAGAAAATGAGGTTAGAATGTTTGAGACGGTAGAGAGCGCTACATAAAAACTACCGACTATTGTCTGCACACTACTGAGTCGTGTTCTGGCACTAACCAGTCGTGTTTCGTACAGCACTCACTACTGACTATAAATATTTTTCTAATATTTGTACGAAACAGTAATAATTGCTATTTTATTTTCTCCGTGTATCAAATATTATTAATTCATTCTGTGAAATCTACCTTCCATTTCGGGTGTGGTCGAATGGCGTTTTTTTAATTGCATCGACAATTTCTTCTCTCTTGGAAATACGTGCATTGCGAATAGAAAAATAACTAACATTATATTAATCAATATCTAATCCCAGACTCACTACAACAGCTGCAATGACAAACATTGCATCTCTATCACTAGTTCCAGTGCGATCTAAAGCTGATACGAGTTCTGGAGTTAAAATATAGATTTTTTTCTTTTAAGCAGGTACAGGGAGTTCATCCTCAAAATCAGAATATGTTCGTTTCAACCCACTAGAATTTGATGATAGACTACAAAAACTTGCTGGTATCGAATGTTGTGATAATTTCATGCCTAAAATAATTTTTTCAGAATTAAATAAATAAACACAATCAATTCAAACATTTTTTAAATTTTATTTTCAGCTTCTGTTATCCAGAAGCAAAAATATTCTTTGAATTAAGTTTCCGTAGATTTTCTCCAACGAAAATAAGATCAAATGGTGTGTATTTTTAATTTATTGGTTACAGAGACTTCAATTTTTTAATAGCGTGGGAATTTTCGACTGCTAAAAAGTCGAAAACAAATTTTTTTCTTCTAAGTCAAAATTTTTGTCAAGATCGAATAAATTTTGATATATTTCACTTATTCAGATTTACTTGATAGAAATTTTACCAAAAATGATAGACTAATAATTAGAAAAAAAGTTATGAATCTAGAAACAAATTTTAAAATATTGAAAAATTATATAGAATTCAATTTTCAGAAAATGAGGTTAAGAAAATTAGAATTTTAATGCGAAGTAAATTTTAAAAGTAAGAAGAAAAAATATGAGTCTAAATTATAAAAAATTGTTTTCGATTACTAAAAAATGATTGATTGTTGAGCTTGATAATTTATAGTTGTGTGTGAGAAGAAAATACTGTAATAGTAAATCTAAACTAAACTAACCAATTTCGTCTGTATTGTTCTCATTATCTTCATTTGTTATCTCCTGTTCGGTATCAGATTTATTCTGAAAAGTTTCCACTGGCAAGGAAGTAATAACGGGCGAGTGAACATTAGTTTTTCCCTTTTGACACTCATACAGAAATTGTTGCTGCTCTTTTGGCAAATTCTTAACCATTGTGGAATTCGAAATATCGAACAATTTATCTAGTTTTTGGTTAAACTTTTCAACATTCTGTTTTTGAGCTTTCGATTTTTAACTTCCCGCTAAGAAAATCGAAGATTTTCAAAAATCGGGAAGTTATTGTTTTTACCCCGTTTTTCGAAAATCGAGTTTTCATCGGATCTTGACGTTTCGAGGTCCTAGGAAGCTTCCCTGACTATTCCCGCGATGGTGTCTGTATGTCTGTCTGTATGTGTATGTGTGTGTGTGTTTTTTTTTCCCTTAGGGGGGGGGGAATCCTTTTTACGGATTCTAGGCATAGATGTTTAGCCTGGATATGTGGCGACTCGACGCAGCGTCATACTAAAACTCGACGCTAACGCCCCTATCCACTAAACCCTAAACCCCTTTTCCTTCGTTCCTCTATTCCCTCATGGAAACCGCCGTCAAGCATTAGTTCGTGAAGGGAGGATCTAGCTACTGCTCTTCCTTCTGGTGGCTAAGGTGTTAACTTCCTTCCTTCTATCTTCTGCTATTTGCCTTTCTTTCGGTGGAACGCAAGTCTATGAGGACTTCTGTAGCAAACGTGTTGGTAGCGTTCCAGGCAGCTTCTGATGACAA